ATAATATATTATAATTCATTAATTATAGAATACTATAATATAATTCGTTACTATATAATGAAGAATTCATTACATTCCTGGCTTCCCTGCAGACACTGGAAGTTTAATTCTGAACATACTTTGCAAAGAGAAACAGGGGACCATGAAAGATAGGAAAGAAACTACCAGCTCTCTTCACAAAATGACTCGATATCTGATCAAGTGGTGGTAATTTTTACAAGGTCATGGTGACAGCCTCTCCCATACCTATCAAATTCATATATCTCTACTCTAAACTTATTAACAGTTGGCATACTTCTAAGCTTTACTCCCAGCAGAATTCAGCATCATCCTTGCCATACCTTTTCACTCAGGGCCAAATCCATGTTATTTGATACACCATGCTGAAGACAGGAGCCAAAGGAACACACTATGAGCCGCAAAGCCAACTCGCACTGACTGCACTCCATGAGGTTCTGCAGTACTGCACAGATGGGAGTTCTAGCAGGAAGCAGAAGGTTCTGTCCTGTGAGAGATTTGAAACTCAATCAACCCCAGAAAATAATTAGTGTATACATATATATATATATAGAAAGCATAGTATTGTTCCTGAAATGAATATCAAAGCAGTTTATTTTTTTCTTCATTAAATTTATGACACAAGATCAGCCTTAGTTCCCTTTGAAACCTTAAACTTTCAGGGCTTTTATTTAATACAGACTCCTATTTTAGTCCAAAACCCAGAAGTTGGTCTTCTTCTTGGAAAGGCTCTAGTGGATTCTAGCTTGCAGTGGTAGAACTTCTGCACTGAAGTACAGGCTTTGACAACATGCTCAGAATCACATGGCTGAAGGGTAGCAATTACCACCCGAACTTGTGTCTTCTTAACATAGCTGAACCAGCTATCCCCTAGAATACAGCTTTAAGTGGAGCATCTAGGCATTCATTTAAAAATAATGATTTTAGTCATGCTTATGTAGGTTTAATTAATTTAAACCTCATATTTTCTAGTGATCTGATTTATAGTTTCAGTGTGGTGAATCTGCCATCACGATACCTTTAACAAATGCGCAGTTGGCCAGGCTTACGGAGTCCAGAGGATACAGCTTGTTCTCTTGAAAGACGGACAAAAAGACATCAGCAGCATGCCAAGATCTCAGCAACACCATGAAAGCCTGAAAGTGCCTTAATGGTACTTCAGAGGCAGTACATAAGAGCCAGGACTGCTATTTCTAACTGCGCCTTACTTAGAATATCCTAGAACCATAGAATAGTTAGGGTTGGAAAGGACCTTAAGATCATCTAGTTCCAACCCCCCCTGCCATGGGCAGGGACACAAAATATCTTTCCAAATGCACAAAGGAACACAAACTAAGAGTTTCCAGCAACTACTTTGTGTTTAAATCCATTTCTCTTGATGAGACAGTCAACATAAACACTTAATCTGTGAAAGTAATAAACTTATTAAGATCAAATAAGCATATCCTTTATAGGCAGATTTAGCACTGTGCAACACTATTTGCAATTATATGCTTTTTAATACATCACTAACACGTTAGGAAAGAAAACATTTACATCAAGAAGTATTGAAACTAAATAATTCTCAAATATTCAGTGCTTCTTTTAGAGAAAGTGTCTTTTTTCAGCATCTACAACACTGTAGAGTTGTGTTCATAATACTTGAAGTTTTCAGAGCTGTGTGTATCTACAATGGTACATAATACAAGCACAATTGTTTTAGAATAGGATGAAGTTCATTTTGACAGAATTCTGTCTCCATTAGTGGCTACCAGACAATGTTTTCTCAGATCATAAGAACAGGCCAAGTTTATAGTAACACTTCTCCAGAGCATTTTCTGTATCTTCAGGTATTAGTCATTCAGATTCTTCCTGAACCAGAACAAAACCCATCATCATTTCTATACCCCCCGCAATGGATGTTTCTTCCATGAGTTTGTCTAACTGAGATTTTGATAATTTCCATACATGCTGAATTATTTATATTCCTAGGCAAAAAAAATCAGTTTGAAATACAGATTTGATATTGACTCATTGTTCAGGAAAGCAAGTTTACCACAAACAGGCAGAAGAGAAGAAATAGTTTCATATGCAACTGGAAGAGCTATTTGAGGATCAAGAACTATTCCATCTTCATTAAAGAAGTCATCGTAAGTCCACTCTTCATAAGGATCTTTATCTCCTCCGAAAGATGTTGTCTAAAGAAGAATATTGTCAAAAGCACACACAGTAAAAAGAACAGCTAAATAAGGCTACTAACAAACTAAAGGCCGCAAGAGATTCCAGTTTGCAAATATAGGAATAGAACAAGATTTTCTATTTGAAAATGGATTTTACTCCACTACTTTTTGTTAAATGGCCAGTAGCATTAAACACAATTCCTACTTAGAGTGGCCACGTTTCTTTTTAATGTTGCCGTTATCTAGTGGCACACCCAAAATGCATTCTTAATTAATTTAATGGAGGCTTTCAGAAACCTTCTTGCCCAAATATTATAAGCAAACATTTTTCGAATGGATCATTTTTGTAGAAAAATAACATTCAGTGCATAAATACACTTGCCCAGCCACTTTGATCTATAAACTGGAAGAGCCCATTCATTTCAAGTAGTCTAAAGCACTGCAGGACCAGCCAGCTCTACAGCAGTCTTGGCAGCAGCTAATGAATGGAATAACTGATATTTTCAGTCACATTAGTGGGGTTTATTATACTGAAATGTAAGTAAAAAATGCTACTTGTGCCACAGCTGCACTGCTTTTACTACTCAAATCAGTTCACTCTTTACGCTGAAGTACACGCATATTCAAGGAAATTTTTATTTATGGAGCTGTAGGTTGGTGGTTTTTTTGTGGTGGTTGTTTGCTTTTTAAATAAGCCCATTAAATATTGCTGGAGAAATGGGAGGAAAATAAAATGTATGCAGAGTGAACACTATTCAGACAATCAAGACATTACATATGTTAAAAAAAATATACTTAAGTTAGGAGAAAATACCTTTGCTGTAAATCCATAGTTTTCTATTTGGCACTGTCTGTAAATTTCCTTGGCAGCCAAAGTATATTTACATAGTTCCAGAGAATCTAACAGTAAATCTGTACAAAGGTTTAAGATCATTAATATGCTGTGAATAGAAAGTTCATATATCCTATAAAAATGAAACATGTTTTTGCAGCACCTATTTTTAAAGAGGCATATATAGAAATTCACTTTGGTTTCAGGTTTCTTAAATACTGTTTGGGAAGTTGGATTTCCATGATGAACACAAATAAATGGTAATTACCTGGACTACATATTGTAGCTGCTTGGCAAGCCATCTCATAGATCACTGCTGGAAGATTCATATTATTAGGAGTAATCATTGGGACATCAGCTCCTAACATATGACAAAGCCTTTGACATGCTGAAAACAGCAGCTTCCCTGTTTCTTCATTACAGTGATTTTCATAGAACTCCCTATTAGAAAAATAAAAGTTAAAGAAAATAGTCCTTAGGGCTTTTACTTAAGGCTACATTCTGTTCTAATGATTTAATTCTCTTTTACCTATTTTACCTATATGACTCACCGCAACTAAAACTTCTGACTGAAGTGAAAAAATAGATGGAGCTTAACTTGGAGATATTAGTAAAGCACATAGAACATGTTAATAATAAAAAATACATTGAACATTTTCATCTGATCTCTTTTGGGGGAGGTGGTAGTAAGTTTGCGTTATCTGACAATCTAAGCATGAGGCAGAGACCAGCTAGAAACCGTGACCTGGTATGTACAGTCAGGGTACAACAGTTTTCTTCTATCTCTGTAAGCTGACAAGTTCTCGTAATGGTTATTTAATATTGTGTCTTAACTCTCACTATAAAAGTATAGGGAATCGTTTTACTTAATAAGTATGTTATGGCAATTCTGACAGACAAAAAACAACTCTATGCTCAACATCTTGCTTAAATATCTACTTACTTCTGCAGAGTATCAGAAATAGCACAAAAAAGCCCATCAAAAGTTATAATCTTGAAAACCTCTGCAGTTTTACCTGCATATTTTTACAGCATCTTCAACTTTTCCAGCATCCAGTGCTCTCAAAGCCAGTTTTTCTCCCAGTTGTTGCTCTGACCTCTGCAGGAGCAGAGCCAGTTTATACAGCCTTGATTCAGTAGACCGGTTCTTGCTTTTACCATCTTCTGAACGACAATTCACTGTTTGTGCTTTTCTAGACTTTGACAGAGATCTGACAGTTTCATAAGCTTTGATGTGACTCTCAAGAAGCTTAGACATTAGTGAAGGATTCCTAAATTCTTCAACTGAAAGAAAGATATCAAAATCTTCCTGCAAGAAAAACCGTAAGATTATATATTTGTATTCACATAACTGCCTTTAAAAATGTTGGCTTCTTTTTCTGTTAAAATGGTTTTATTTCCTGTCTCATTCTTAGAGTAATAAATTCAGTACAAAGTTGACTTTACCAATTTCTTGCAATTACTGATTTATGTAATTAATTAGAGAATTGTGCTAGGCAGTAGGTAAGCAAAATAACAAAACCTGAAGGCTACTGTATGCTCAAATGCTGTATTAAATGCTTTAATCTTACAAACCATAATAAGATCTCATTAAATATTCTACTCCTTTATCATGGTCTCTTTGAACTCTCAGCAATTAAGAATTTAGGAGAGTATCTATATTTTTTGGTTTAAATGGACAACTGAGTTCTAGTAATTGGGAACTTTCTCAGGCACTATTTAGCCTCCAAATCTCTTTGAACTCAGTAACAAAAACAACCTTGGCACATAAGTTGTAAATACAATCAATTTTTAATATCATCCATGTTATAAGAACAATTGGAGTAACTACAGTAAATCAAAACCAGTTTGAAATCATAAAGATACTTACCTGCAGGGTAGCAAGTGTTTCAAACATTTTTAGGTTTGCTTCACATTCATCTTTCTTCAGAGGATTACCTGTTGGAGGAGAAAAAACAATTACTTCCTGACTCCATTTACAAATAAAATGTAAGACTTTTAAGTTGTAGCTTACCTTTTTGAATGCTGAACAGGAATTTCAGGACTTCCACAAGTGTCTTAGTCATAAACATTTGTGTTTTTTGCTGTGGAAAGAGGTTCATGTCTTGATTGGTCAGAATGTTGCCAGTAACAGACAGTGACCCTCAGGCTTCCACTCTGCTAAAATACTATGCAATGCTCTACAAACATCTTAAGAAACAATTATCAAGTCTAAGATACAACCAGTTGCAAAGCAAGGGAACAGAAAGTTACTGGACATATGCATCCTTTATAGAAATAGCAAATATTTTATGGCTGTAATCTGTATGTTCTCCACACAGTCTGTTAGCTCTCACTGCAGTTTGGAAAGTATCCACCCTTCTCCCTTTGTTCTTGCTCCCCTCACCCGTAATGACTCCCTAAAACAACTGTTAGTAAAAATATGTACTACTAGAGATATAATAATGCAGCAGGGTTTATGAATTGAATTGATACACAGTAGCCATGCCACTGTGTGGAGATGCCTTTAAAAATAACACAAAAAATTATACAGTATACAGAATCAAAATAAACTCAAGTTGGAAGAGGCTTCAAGAGGTGACCTAGTCCAACCTTTTGCTGAAAGTAGGATCAGTTCATCATTCCTTTTTGCTGGAAAACAGTTTTTACATTTCCATCCCCTACCTTTTTTAAGCATCTAGTTAAGAACAGTATTTAGACTAACTTGTGCACACACTTTATGATGTGAAATGACTCAGTACCTCTTCAGAATTATCTGCTTTATTCTGTAATACCAGCGTTCCCCATAGAGTCAATCTCTCTGCAACTTTCTCAGCTTCAGCAAGAGTCAGAGATTTTAACAACGTCAGAGATTCCTCTCCCTGAAGGGAGAAAGAAAAAACAAACAAAAAGTAAGCCAAAAATAACCAAAAGAAAAGGGTATTTGCTTTTGGAAAAGCTAAGTTACGTGTATGTCCTCACTTTGAGACAGTGGTTATGATTATCAATTATACCAGGTGCTTAATAAGGCAGAACACATGTTAACATGAAAACACTGTTTTGCAGGGGAGTTAATCTGGTTCCTTTAATCAAAAAGCCTCCTTTTCTTCAGGTGAAAGCGATTCCAATAACATAACCAGGGACCACCACAGGGTACACAGGTAATCACACCCAGTATAACGTAGCAAGCAAAGACAAATGTTTCTAGTTAGGATAGCAATGTAATTTAATGATAACTTTAGGTTTTTGCTAAACTTCATACAGACACGTTCAACACTATGTTGCAAGATGCACATTTTGGTGCTCTCAATACTAAAGGGGCAGGTCTGTACTCATGTGGGGTGATGTCGCCCTAGAAGAAAGCATTTATGAGAAGAAAGAATCCTTCCCTTTTTTTGTTGGCAAGAAAGCAACTTGCCCTAAAAGAACTCTGGCCAAACCAGTATGTGAAAATGTGCAGAGACTTCAATTCCAAACTTGTCTTGTGTATTGTGGGTCATAATTATCATCCTTTTTTGCCACAAAAGAAGGATGGTTCATGTTGTTTACAACTCTGACAAAGGTCTTATTTTCAATGTTAGATGTAGGCTGTTGTGTGTACCATTAACAGAACTGTAATGAAAAAAGAAAAATTTAAAAGTGTGTAAGATGCCAGCAAGTAGTACAGCTTGCCCCTAAAATAGGCCTCAGTGTCTTTAAATTGAGATGAAGTGACATGAAGTATTTTAGTACCCTTTCTTTGTCAATCAGGTCTATCATCCTCAGAACGTAGACTTCCACAGTGGGCAACATATATGCTGCTACAATTTTCAAAGCATCCTCCAAAGAAGTAGGGGTATCTTGTTTAAGAATGTATTTTGCTAGTCTCTGCAAGAAGAAAAGGGATATGGACATTAGTTTGTTGATGTACAGGATAACAAAGGAATTCATTTACACACACTACTTCTGCTTTGTCATTGCATAGCTCGTACCAAGCAAATTACCTAGAAGTTTAAAACTTGACTGGATCGTAACTGGGAGAAGATGGGGTTTGGGGAAGAGAATTATCCTGGGAACTCTCAAAATTCAGGGGACTCAACTGGCTCCACAGGACGGAAAGGAACCTTTGAAGAAATATTGATGTTTTTTTATTATTAATGCTGTGCTAATCAGGTTGGGCTAAACTAATCTGCTAATTCTTAAAAAAAAGAGTAGGCTTTCAGGCAAAAAATGTGTCCCAACAGGACAAGAAAAACAGATATTGATAACAAGTGGGAACTGTCAGCTGCTAAGACTTATAAAAAGTCTGGCTTTTAATACCCTGTTAAAATACATGCAGATAAGTAGATTTTAATAGAGGTAAGAGTAATGCTGATCACTTACCATGATCATCTGCTTGTCCTTTAAAAGATTAGTATCTCTTATCCCATAGGCTCGCAAGAGCTTCTTCATCTCCATCAATCGGTAACTTTCCTGCAGTAACTTTACTCTATGGACAAATTAGACTATCACTAATTACCTACAGCTGTGTGATTTAACCAACATACTACATCTGAAACACAGTATTTCCCTTCCATCCTCCCCCCAAAAAACAGAATTCTAATTGAGAGCACACACAAACCCCAGGTGTAGGGACTGTGGATGGTGCCTTACTTGACATGATTCATTTCCAAGTGCTGTTTCACCAGCTGCTCCACTGCTGCACTCCACGGTACCATAGCACCATGCATTATCTGTAGAACTGCATCAAATTTCAGCTACAGAAGGAACATAAAGAGCTTATGTTTAAAAACAGGTTACAAGGTACTCTATTGAATTATTGTTCCCACGTGATTGATTTATTTAGGCAAGCAGTTTATTTCTTTGCCCATTTCCACTTGCATAAAGGGCTTTAATTATCATAATATGATGTGTCAAGTTAGATTAGGAAATCCTGATACTATTTAACGACACGGTAAAGCTTTCATACATTTGAAAATTGGTGAGTTTTCCATGTGATGACATCAAAACTGCCATTAAATTCTCAAGCAAAGAACTTCACATGGGAGATTACTAAAATAGAATAAAAATACTATTTGCTCCTCCTTATGCAACAATGCAGTCATGTGCTTATGTTAAAAAAAAAATGAACTGATGTATTAGAGCCAATGATGCCTATATATGATGTCATAAAATATACTTACATCTGTGTCAGAGATACAGCCAATGACAGCTATTGCCTTTGCCTCCCATGCAGTTTCAAATACTGAAGTAGACCGTGTACGACAGCGTTCTAGCAAATCCTGTATATTTTGATAAAGATTATTAGCATATTTGAATTCAGAAAAGGTAAGATTACCTTAAAATATAAAATAGTAAGTATCAGTAAGTTCATTGAAAGGAGTAAGCTGTAAACAAAAACGGCCATCAGATTTGTTTTCTCTTTATTCCTGTTTAACTAACTTTCCTCAAAAGGAAGGGAATCTGGATACCTTTATATACTGGAGAAGTAGTTCATCCTTTTGTAGATTATGTTCACACAGGTAGGGTTTTATAAACTTCTCCAAAATGGATGGGACAAGCTCTGGTGCCAAAATTTTATCAAACATGCGAAACACAATAGTAGTTGCATTTTCCTGGGCAGCAAGTAGAACAATGGCATGTTAGAACATCACGTATGTAAAGGATCATGTACTAACATCTCTAAGAAATAATTCAACATCCAGCATCTATTGAAATCAGTTGAATGATTTCAAGAACTCTTTAGTTCAAATAAAAGCTCAAATAAAAGCTTTTTTAAAGCTCCTTATTTTTCAGTTGTAGTTCTGATTTCTCTCTTGCTAATGCTTGCTCCATGATACATGATCTGTAATTACAAGCAAATCATGGAGATTAAGTCATACTTTCTCATAGGACCTTATCACATTATATATTTATACCCACAGCTGAAACAAAATTTATAACAACCATAACATATCAAATAGTCTTAGAGTTTTTGAACACACGTTTATCCAAGCAATCCATCAGAAATTTTAAATACTCCAACTTTAAATTGCACACTACAAGATTTTTCTCTTTCCCAGAACAATCCACTAATCAAAAACACATTTGGAAGTGTCTGCAGAATTACCTTTTCAAAATCACAGAGTGCCAGCCTGCAGTTGTATTTTCTGTACAGATTTATTAGCTCTTGTAAATCATTTACCAGCTTCTTTAACCTGTGCACCTCTTCACAGTCAACACATCTCTGAAACAGTGTTTAGAAGTGACACGTTAGAAGACTTACTAAATCTTCAAGACCATTACATTACCATTAACATAGAATATCAATGTTTCAAGTATTTAAAATGCACAGATGGTTAGTTTTGAACTTTTCTGTCTCCACTTTCATACTACCACTCCTAGAGATGCTAGTACATCTAGAATATATAACATACATAATTTGATTGTGGTTACACAAATTCAGTATTCATAACCTCACAGCTGGTTGATTTTAATACCTGTATCTTCAGGCCATAACACATGGTGAATTGCAATTACAAAAAACTTTGTCAGAGAGGAGACATGTTTCTAATTTAAGTTTTTTTAATCTTTAAACCCAAGCAGATTGGAGAGAAATTGTTTCTTTTCATAGAATTAAGTCAATCTTCACCAAAACCAATAGTGACCTAAACATCATCCACTCCAACTCTAGCACACAGCATATATTCTGAAGTCTCCTAGTAGGAATTCCTTATATTTGCTACATTTCTTACCATAAGAGTCCACTGGCCAGAAATTGTCAGTCCCATTTCACCTTGATTTTTACTTGTAAAAAAAACCTCTGCCATTTGGAGTCCATTTTCTGGCCAATTTGCCTGTCCAAAATAATTGATATTAGCAAACCATATCATATACATAGAAATACAAGACACACAAAGTGTCTGCAGAATGACTTACCTTATCAGTTAATTCAAGGTTTCGAGCACCTTGTTCCAGCCATTTTGCTAGGATTTTCTGAAAAGAACACAGTTGTAAGTAAAACTCTACTATTTATCAAAGCAAAATTTGCCACTAGAAATTTGTTTTGAAAGAAATAACTTAAAATCTAAGCTGTAGGTAAAAGAATCCCTTAAAAAAAAAGTAAATAAAAAATAAAGGAACAAGGTTCTGACATGTGACAATAAAAGTCTTAGGTTTAACTATAAAATTATATCAGCCTTACCTGTCCCTTTGGTACTACTCTTCTTAAGAAAGGGACCACAACATTTTTAAGCCACAAACATAGTTCCTTCAAAGGAACAGTGAAATGGATGGCATTAATCAAGTTCTCCAGCATTTTCTCATTAAAGCCGCTTTCAAAATCTGCCTAAAATATTAAAACCAAAGCAATTTTAGATACAGGGAATATTTGTTTTATCTGATATTTTGTAAAGCTGTTTCAATTAACAGGAAGATGTGACAGATTTCATAAATACGAAGAGAAAATCTCAGTAATCATAGACAGGAATTAAAAGAAACAAAATAGCCCTATTCAGAATAACTAGAGCTTGGTCTTCTTAAACAAGGCAATCAAAGCAATTTCTTTGCAAGTTACTGTGGCAGGATCATGTTCTAGTACTTTAGCACTGGTTATATAGTTCTGACCTGAAAGTCCTGCACTAAAGAACATACTAGCCCATAGCCACTATTATGAATGTGTCATTCAGAGCAAGGAGACTATATGATTATTTTCAACAGATTTTAAGGTAGTCAGCAAATGTCCACTTAAAACTTGAGAGCTGTGCTTGCAATAAAGTGAATGGAAGATTATAACCACCAAAAAATAAATCAAAGAACTGTCGTCCCTCAGATGTAGAAATATGCATTCTGACATCAGAAATACCTGTTTATTCCTAAATCAATAAGAAGTTCAGCCTTCTAAGGAGCTAGGTGAACAGGTAATCATTATGATAACAGATGAGGTTATGCCATAAACCTTTGCTTCTTTGAGGAGCAGTTTTGTATGGCATTGCTCTGATTCTCTTAAATAAAGCTGGGAAGTTTGAGACTTAACATCCTCCACAAATACCAAAGAGATGCCTATGCCATCTCACCTGGTGCCTAAGCCAGAGGTACTGTGCACAAGATAAATTTCCTTCTTCTAGCTGAGAAAGGATATTCTTGAAAATGTTTTCACTGTTCAAGAATTCTGTCCAAGCAATGCCACTAGGAGCGAGAGAAGGGAAAGAAACTGTGTTACAGAGAACATCAAACCTTTTCTAGCTAGTACTATTTACTCTAAGAGACAACTGCAGTGTTAGACTATGTGCATAAAATCACAGCCCCTCCTATATGCAATAAACAAAACCACAAAATCTATACATGATAGTGCATGTACAACAGATAATACATGTTTACAACATACAGGATGACTCCACTTCTTTGCATTCTCCCTTCTGCACAATAGAAAGGAAGGGTTTAAATTTTGATGAACCAAACTAAAAAATAACACCCCCCTTAATTTCAATGGCACATACTTAACTATTACAATTAAATTGACTTTAAATCTTAATGAACAAACAGAAACAAACCTGAATTTCTCTAGTCCAAAAGCTCCATAAAAAGTTGTAAGCCTTGCCTGAGCTCTTAATACCTGAATGCAGACAAAAGATTTAAGGTCAATGTCTGGAGAGGTTTTAAAACTCTGCATTGTAATTGCTTATCTTACAATACTGTGGAGTCAAGAAGTTTGTCTGTCCTCACCTCAGTTATGGACACTGGAGCCCCATCAGATGATGGAGCAAACATTCTATCATCTTTCTTCAAGATCTGAAACAATTACATGAAATGGTTTGGCTGACAACTCAGTACATGCAGAACATTCCAGACTACTACAAATTCAATAAAAACATGAGCCAAAACTTAGTACCTCTGTAAACTGGAGTCTTTTATTTTACAGTGTTAGAATCTGACTGGATTTCTACATGTATGCAGGATCAGACAGATACCAAACAGAATCAGAGATACATGTTAAGGCAGGAAAGACTAAAATAATGAAAACAAAAAAGGTGACATATGTTGAGCTTTTAGTCCTAAAATTAGTATTTAAAAGGTACTTAAAAAGACTACTACTCAAAAAAACCCTGCCTTCTGAAAATAAAACTGTAAGCTCTTTTTTTGCCCTTAAGCAATAGCAAGAAGACGGGAACAAGCCTTGCTGCTGTTTTGTGTTTGGTAACATGGAATTTATAATGCATTTACTTTGTGAATGACTGTAACTGGTTTGAAGATGTCCCCCTTTTCAAATTGTACAGAAGCATAATAGGAATGGATGAGGATAAACAAGTCAAACAAATAAACCCCCTTACTCTGACTTTAGCGTAGTTCAACATTTCTTGAGTGGTTTCATACAGTGGCCATGGAGCATTTATGCAGTAATCCACAACAAACTGGCTATCCTGTTTGCACAAGGAAACAACTAAAATGAGTTCACATCTTCTTTATCATTTGAATTACTTAGTTAGAGAAAGAGGGTGGAAATAAAACACATACCTGAATTTTTTGCAGGTTTTCTTTGGCTTCATTCACAAGATCCAGCCAGACCTCATGACCGTAACTCCCAACAGAGGCTGAAGCCAGTTTCTCTAAAATAGTGTTTGCTTTCACTTTATATACAAGCTGTTTAAAAACCAAAGAAACACGGTTTTCAATCTGATGCAGTTGAGTTTTAAGGAGTCTTCAACTGAAAACTACAGTTGTTCACCATGTTTTTGAGATATGGTGTGTCCAGGTACATTGAATGATTTCACTACAGAAATGGATTACCAATTAGTAACAATTATAATGTCTTCTTTTTATCTCACCAGCTAACCACAAAAAAAAACAAGAAAGGAGAGGGAACATTCGAACTTCATTATTTGAATAAATCAATTAATGAAGCCAGACTATGGATTAATAAATGAATATGAATTCTCTTTCTTTTTTTAGCAACACCATTTCTTGCTACTTACAGGGACAAATGTGCCTTCTCTTGATCCAGCAGTGCTCATTTATACTTCTGCACAACTTTTCATTGCAAGGTTTGTTAGTTATTGTAAATAAAAACATAGCTCACTGTGAAGTCATCTAATTTTGAACCAGTTTTCAAGTATAGTGAGTTGCTTTGCAAGGTAACATTCCCCTATATTTGTAATATTTTTAATACTTTCTGTTGGACTAACAGGGCAACAACCTTACTCATAAATTCACTTACACTAATTAATCTCCAAAAGTATTTATCAAGAACAGACAACTCACCTCAACATCTAGTCCAAACTGAAGAGCAAAAGTCTCTGCTTCGGTGAATTTGTGCTTATGAAGTAAGCGACTGAGCCTAGGGGTGAAATGAAGTGCAGTTTACTACTTCCAGAGAAGTTCCAAACCACAGATAAAAAATAAAATAGTGAAACAGTGATTCACAGAAATCAGTACCTATTTTCTGGCAAGGCTTCAGTTAAACTTCTCATCACAACAATAGAAATTGGGCCTTCAGAGGGCCTGAGGATGAGAGGGAGCTATGAGTTAATCAACTATGAAACAACTGTACGTAGAAATAATCTGCCATTTTAATATAATAATGATCTAGTAAGAAACAAAACATTATCTTACGTCTGATGTTTCTCATTAATTCCTTCCAAGAAGTATATTGTATCCTGTAGCGTGCAATAACAGAAAACGTAAGGTGGTAAAGGAAATCAGTCATAAGAAAACACAACTGTAAGGCAGCATTTCTTAATCTAGAAAAAAACTACTGCTTTTCTCTGATAAATTTATTGGGTCTTTTTAATGCTTATCATGTTATTTCCTGGTTAGTTTCCACTACCTAAAAATTGAGGGCCTTAACACACTGAAACCACTCTGCTATCCCAGTTCAATTACTGTCAGGATACTGTCCACATAAGTGAATCATCTCCTCCAAATTACACTCTCATTTTGTCTAAGCCATAAGCAGGTCACACTGTACCCATCTTCACATCTTTTAGAATAAATCCCAAATACATCCAGAGCATTTCTCTACACCAAGAGAATTTAAAACTTCATAGTTTTTAGCTGTAACAGCTGCAAGAACAACTAGCAGTAGTATTAAAACATTGCAATAGACTGTTCAGTTTACTACATATTGTATCTTTTTCTCCAGCCATTGGGGACATAATTTAATCTTTCTTTGTATCATCATTTAATTTTTCTGCAATTTCTAGCACAATTCGGTTCTAATCTAAGAGAATAACACAGTACCCTCTGTAATAATTCTACATATTTAGACATAGTTCTTTGAAGAGCAACAACAAAAGTCATCTAAACCTACTGTGCCAATCCCACTTTGAACAAGTGAAGAAACAATAGATACTTCCAAAGAATAGAGCTGTTGCATAGTGGGCAATGCAAAAACCATCAGACTTCTCATCTATAAAAAAAAGGGAGGAAACAAACAAGTCAGTTTAATTTTTCCTCTCTGGTGTGTGCAGAATAATTTCTTTATTCTTACAGAGTCAGACACTATTTTTATAGGTTTTTATGGAGAAAAAAAAAAAAAAGATCTCTACAATTTGAAAGTTTAATGAAGTTTAAATGTTGCATCTCTATATAGGCCTATTTTTTCAATGAGTGACTGTATAACAGTTGCGGAACAGAGCACACAAAGAGATTATACCTGTTTGTTATCTGGTGTTGTCATGACTATCAGTTTAACATTCGCAAGCCCTTGCCTAGGGAACAAGAAAGAGAAAAAAGAAAGCAAAATTTACTGTATAAATCTTATGTTAAGACTGTGATTCTCACTTCTGAGTTTAGAAAATTCAGTTTTCCATGGAAACGGCTGGTACATTTTAAAACCCCATAGTGCACCCAAAAATAACGGTCTTTTAGCATTTAGAGGACATACATTTAACTTCTGACATTTTTAAGCTTTTCAAATGGATCTGATTCACAGACTGGCACAGAGCAACGGAAGGAGCCAAGAGACTTCTCTTCTAATCTTAACTGCCATTAATTTATTTTGCATTTTACACACATCTCCAGATTTTGGCTTCTCCATCTGCAGAATGAAGATCTTGCTATTTATCTATCCAAAAGATAGACTAGCTTTTTTATAACATCAGACTTGTAAACCATATTATACACCTTAGTTTAGACAAGCATTTCTAAAGCTACAGGTTACATGCAAGGTTCCTTAACAGTAACAACAGATAAACCAAGAAAAAGCAGAAAGCAAGAAGGTTTTCTTTCCTAGAACACAAAGCTGAGGGTAGCTGCTGTGCAATTATTTTGTCCTGCTGACTAGAAAGCTTTCAACAAAATTCACTACCACAGAAAAATCAAGTGTTTGTGGCACATTTCATGTAACTTTTCCATTTTCATAATAGGTACTATAAAGCTTTACTTACCATATGACTGGAGAGGAATCTGTCTCTGTACTTAGAAGAAATTCTTCAATATGTATTAAAGGCCAATCCCAAATTAGAGTAAGAGAATTAACATCCCACATGCTTAAGATATTCTAGATTAAGGGGGGAAAAAAAATAATCAGATATGGATTTAATATTTTCTTCATAGAAGACTTTTTTGTCTTTGTCATTCCATAGCTTGCTTAATAGGAGTAGGATTTTAAAAAGCACAGCAAGATCAAGAGTCTCTGTAAATATAAGCATCTTGATTTCATAGAAAGATATTTTAAAGCTATTACTTTAAAAAGTATTTTTAGAAGCTGGTTCAAGAACATTGAAATAAAGACTAAACAGTGAAATAAAGACTAAACACAGTCATTACACATACCTCTGTATCCAAAACAAACAGCTGATTGTCAAGAATGTGAAGTTTTGCTGCATCTACAAAATATCCATAGTCACATATTTTTATTATTTTTCTTGAAGCAAAAAAGCATTAAAATGTACAATCAAGCACTGGAAACCTGCAGATGTTTAACCTCATGGAAATTGCCAGGACTGTGAAAAGTTTAGCTAAACAGAGTTGTGATTTATGTATCTAAGTTAAATCAACAATTTGGAAGCATAGTTTGGCTGTAGCTTTCTACCAAGTGTTCTACTTGGTATAGGTGTATTTACTAATAACAGTGACATAACTGAGGTCTCAGTATTTTCTGCAATTAAATATGAATGCTACAATTGTCTATTGAGAACAAAACAGAAACCAAACTCTTCTTTACCTTTGATCAGACTTGAATCAGCAAAACTTCGAACAGACACCAAGTTATTGGTAGTGTCTACCTCCCATTTGGAGAGTACATAATCACCTCTACCCTGTTAGTAAAGGCAAAGTAAAATGGGGTAATACATTAGAAACTTGGCCATTGTCAGCTGTGTAATTGACCTTTAACTTGGAATGCTGCAAAACTAACATTACTTCTGGTGAACGCTGATGTTCAAAAAAAATATTCAGTTATTTATATTCAATTTACCCTTTTTCCTTTCTCCTTTTAAGACTGGCCTTTACTACAGTAATTGCTACAGTCAGTACCCCCAAACATTTTTGGCTCTTCCAAGAACATGCCACATTTCAAAACATTCACTTTCCATTCTTACAGAGCATAAAACCTGAAACATGCACTGAATGTACTGAGAAAAATAACATTGAATTCAACAGGCTTCAGTCAATGAACTCAGAAAACTCATTTCTAGTAAAAAATAAGATTTCATAATATGTCTGTATGTTTAATTTTGTATTGGCTTCTGTACTTAATTCATGCTTAAGGGCTTTGTTGAGTTGGGACCTTAATTGTTACTTTGGCAAGCCTTTGTTGAATTTTATTAGAAGACACAAATTTTGGCTTTGCATCTGAGCTGAAGGACAAGGTCCTTCAGACTATCTTGCACAGCTCAGAACCACAGATTTACTAAGGTCATGCAACCAGGGTGAAAATATTTTCCCCCCACGCATCGTAAGAGAGCAAGTTACAAGAAATAACTATGGACACACTGCACAACTGATAACCTATAAATTGACAGTGAAGGAAATGAAAGGCAAAAAGTCCTGGTACAAAAAGTTTATTATCAACCAGCTAGAGATAAATTTTGTTGCAGGTCAAAACCCACCATCATTGATCACATAACAACTGCCACAAACACATTCATAGTACTTACCCCAACTATCAGATGGATTTTATTCTCCGAGTTACTTATCACAAAATTCTGACAGCCAAGGCTGTGATACTCTTCTGTGGAAACGAAAGCTGTCTTTATCTGTCCTTGTAACTTGTGGGGTGAAAGATGAAGGGAAAACAAACGAAAGGGGAAGGAAAAAAGTGGTTTATACAAGCACGAATAAAACCTTGAACTGCCCATTTTTCCATGTATAGAAAACGTAATAATCATAATTGAGTTGTAATAATAAACTAGTAAGTACTCAATGAAATGTACAGAGCAAAGTTTTGTTAAATTTGGCACTTAATACCTATGTTACAAGTTACCAGGTTTTTCTTACTTTCTTTGCTGTAATCATATCCATCTTGTCAAGTGCTACATCAAAACAAAAAGAAACAAAGAAAATATCAGTGTTAAATGAACTTTTATCAAAATTGAGAAAAAGACCCTGAACTACTTCTAGAATAGTTTAATCCTAACTTGACTGTGATGAAAAACACCTTAGCTGGGCTCTCTGACAGGGTGTATTTCTATAGATCACAGTATTGAGTTACAGAAAATTAATTAATAACTCTACTTATACAGCATTAAAAATTGAAGTTATTCCCAATATTCTTCAGTACAGCCAAGACTGATTATGTCTTAAAATCCTGCTTCCGTAGTACTCAGGACTCTCCCTAAAGCAGTGACTCAGAGAAACATAAACTAAAGGAATTGGAAGACTACAAAAATAATTTTATTAAGAACTAGTTGTATATTGGTTTCCCTTTAAAAACAAACTGAGATTACATAGAAAATCCCAACTCTGTATCTCATTCCCATTAGAAAAATGCATGGAAAAGCTTTTATAATACAGCTCTTAGTGTTCAAATCAAAATCCCAAGTGGTCTGTAGATCATCCTACCTTCCTGTGTTTTAGCAAGTGGGAGACACATAATGCAGAAGAATCCATTGCTTGTTAGAATGAACATGTGACAAACACCTAAAAAAAAAAAATCCAATCCAAATATTTCAAACTTAAGTGTTGAAGAGCAAGTAAAGAGTTTACTTGCCTAAAAATAAGACAGTGAAATAACTGACAACAAAAAAACAACTGACCAATAGATTATTTTTAAACAAAAATGTTGTCACCTTCAATGAAGAGCAGACTAAGTTTGTACATTTTAGCTTTGTTTGAAATTATGATGTTGGTATGCTTCCATTAGGCTGCAAATTCTGTTTTCATGACAAAACTACATTTACGTACATTATATTGTGACAGAACAAGACTGGAAGCTTATAGAACAGGAACTAATGAAATCTGAGAGGAGACACAAGGAATGCTTCCTTTTTGAGCATTTTCATATGTTTGGCACAGTCTCAAAAGAAAGAGGTATTGAGTTCGGAATGTTTGTTCTTCTCTAGGACATTCATATAATAATTAATGGGCTAAGTATCTTTACAGAAAAGCATTAGGAAAAGCACACTTAATGTGTACAGTGCAAACTAAAGCTGTATCTACTACTTATTTTGTAGCCTCTTTCCCCAGGAGAACAAAATCAAAAAATTGAGACAATGGGGAAAAAACACCCAAACCAAAACAAAAACCCAACCAGCAAGTTCTTACCTGGCTCTGCATTATCTTTTTCAATAAAGAGATTTAAGTAAGTCTTTTCACTTGAAGATTTTTCAACCAAAATCTGAAACAGAATCAACAAAAAGACTATTAAACTATCCTGTACCTTATTTGGAACAAATATATTGGAAATACTGATCATCAGTTTAAACTTTTTTATTTTATGAAGAACTAGCTCAAGAAATTCAGAGAACAAAAGGCTTTCATCAAAACTGGAACAGAAAAATTACTGTACCTTAGTTAGCAAGGTTTGTTTTGAGGGTATGTGAATAAGGTGGAAATTGCCACTTCTCTCACCGACCACAAGAAATTGTTTTTCTTGACACATGCCAACAACATCCACATTAGTATCTGAAAAGTTCCATGGCAAATGTCAATTAAGATTTGGTTTTTATTAATAGACATTCATATTTGAAACACAGGAATTAGACAATACAGTGCCCGAGATTTCTTCAAAAGTATTTATTTTGATTAAACAAAGTACAGGAAAGGGCATAAAGGGAGTGGGTTTGATAGTCATTATTCTCATTTCAGTGAAAAGTTAGCAAGTATTCTCATTAAACTGTACAGAAATACTTAGTTAATTGTATACAGAAGCAGCAATCACTTGCTATTACTTAGGTATTTATTATAATACTTCCCTTTACAAGTGAGTTAGATACGGAAGATTCTTGCTAAATTTTCCTATACAAACCTATGCATTCTGAAAGTCAGTTTTAACTTCCAGCAGAATTCCAAACGAATGAACTTACCAAACTGAACATGCATCAGAAGGGACTGCCCTGTACTGTCAAGAAGTGCCACTGATCTGTCAACAACAATAATAGTGCCATCCCTCGAGTTGAACGCACACAACTGCGGATTTACAGAGACCTAACAAGAAGAAGGTCGTTATATGCAGTAACTGAAACACCTTAGAAAATGTATCAATGCAGCTCTGGTAATTATTAAGAAAACCACAGCTTCGATGAATTCTACCTGTTCTGAAGATGTGATCTGAAGTAGCGTATCCACTTGGTACAACGCAGTTCCACATTCATGTCCTAAACCAACAGGGAGCCGCTCACTCCCTGTGTCATCATTTGTAAGTAGTTCAATATCATTCCACATTATTACCTATGATAAACATTTAAGGAACACGCTGTAAAGCAGAGAGCATTAAAAACGTTACCTGACCACACACAAGTTATTGACTTTATTATGCTATCGTGATTCTGCGCCGAGCAGGAAGAGCAGTTCATTAAGCCTCCTAAAGGCGAACTGCGTATTTAGAACTGACAATGTCGCAGCAACAATGTGGCTCCCAGCCCGTGTGTCCAGCGGGCCCGACCAAACGCAGCTTGGCAGGACAGGTTCCGCGCTCGAGGCTGAAGGAATCCTGTGCCAGAGAGCCCTGCGCGGCCCCCCCTGCCCGCAGCTATCCCCTATCCGCCATCCCCCTCCTCCTCTCCTCACCGCGGCCCCGCGGCCGGTGACAAACCACAACCGCGCTCCCTCAGCGGCCTCAGGCTTTCAAATTGGCGGGAACCCGGGGTGGCGCTACGGGTCGCAGCCTGGGCCAAACATCCTCCAAACGCGGAGGCGCCGTTGCTTAGACACCGCCTAATCCTTCCCCCTCTCCCAGAAGGCACCGCGGCCCCCCCCGCTCCCCGCCCCACACTTACATCCGGGC